ACTAAAATAAAAGTCACTTAACTCTTTTTTTTGTTAATTCTTAAAAATTTAATAAATTCCTAAAATTATTCAAGGTTTTATCCTATTAGACTCCATTTCGGTTGCAAAATACATGTCAAGTTGAAAGGTATGAAATTTTTTTATAAAGAGCAGGCAGCTGAAATAGCAACAGATGAACTAGCGATCTCTGCAATTACCCCACGTTAAGCCCTCTCCATAGACTATCTGTGCACCCACAGCTGTCTCTGAGAGCTCCTTTGTGCATCTTGTTGTTATGTACCATCGAGTTGCCTGTGATTCACACCGATCCCAAGTACATTTGCTCTGAAACCCACCCCCTCCTGAGCCAATCTCATCGTCTCTGACAGACCTAATCCCATTCCTTCAGTCACTGAGTCAAACCATCCCATCCTGAGTCTTCCTCTCCTGTGCTGTCCCTCTTCAAGGACTAGTCCCTTCTGGTCACATGCCAAAGTATGTGACACGGAGTTTCAAAATCCTTGCCTCCAGAGAGCAGTCTGGTTTCACCCACCCAAGCACGAAACTGTCTGTTCTCCTGGCAGTCCACAGTATGTTCCACACACTCCTCCTGCATGACAACTCAAAGGCATTAATCCTTCTTCTATCATCCTTAGTCACTGGCCAGCTCCCTGATGCACAGCAAGTACCATGGCCTGGATCAGGCACACCTTAGTCTCCAGACTGACATCAGTGCTCTTCACCAGTAGTGTGAAGAGGTCCATGACAACAAACTTTCCCAATGCAATTTGTTTTTCGATTTCCTGACTGCCGGTGCCAAGAGTGTTGGCTGTGTAACCAAGCAAACTGAAGTTATCAACAATCGCTCTCTTCTCCATCCATCATGAAGCTGCCAAAAGGCCCAGTGGCGAGAATCTTTGTCTTCCTGATGTTGAAGACTGCAGTCCTAGACCTTGTGTAACATTCTATCACCCCATTTTTCCATGCTGCCACTGTCTTTGTCTTGACTTCTTTATGACAATGTCTGATACTGTGGGATCAAGTGCTTACTGTTCAGAACAGCTTTCTAGCTACTGATTTTATCACAGAGATGGCAGGATTACACAAACAAGGAGTGTGAGTCTACCCACAAGGGAATGACTAGTTCTGCCACCCTGCTAGCTTGACACTGAGTGGATTCAGTGGAAAGAGATGGGGAATCTCAACGTCAACAAGGAAGATGCAGCAGTGTATGCCCTTGGGGGCCAAAGATCCCTGCACCCCCAGACTGGGGCCTACAGGGGCAGCAGGAGCCTCCACAGAGAAAGAGACAGCAAGCCGAGACAGAGCCAGCAGCCTGCACCCAGCCTTCTAAGTGAACTGGCAGAGGACACTCTAACTGGCAGGGCTGCGGGGACTTGGTGACAGTGACCCAAGCTGTGAGGATGAAGGCTGAAAGGTGTACATCACAGCTAAGCAGCTAAATGGACTGATGGACTGCGCCCTGCTGCCAACCTGAATGGCTAACGTCTCTGATATCCCTTGACTGGGAGTATGGCTCTGCACCGTCTGTGAGCTACTGCAACAGGTTCTGGAACCAGCCCAACAGTAGGCTTGGTGCTGGAGCTGTTAGGAGGAGGTACGGGGCGTGGCAGGCACGTCTGACCTCACCCGGGCTGGCCTTGTGCTGTGGACGTGGCTGGGCGCAGTTCCCCTTTGTGGAGGTTGCAGGTCAGACTCGGTGGTCCCCACGTTGCCTACACTGTTTTTACAGATGCTCTTCTTTAATGGTAATCCACGGGCCGATTTAAGACTCAGCTAACACAGCGTGGGCTCTGCCAGACATGCTACTTACTACCCTAAACAGCGCTTTAGTTCTACTTTTTAAATATAAAAGAACCAGGTCTTACCATGATTTTTAGTGCTAAGACCTGATCCTAATATTTTAAAAATAGAACTCAAGTAGGAGCTCTGGTGGCACAGCAGGTTAAACGTTTCACTGCGAACCCAGACACAGAGGAAGGGGTGCTCACACCTGTCAGGCCCCCGGAGAAAGATGAGGTAGTCTGCGTCTGGACAGACAACAGCTGGGGACAGCTCTGGGGCCACGCACGCTCTTCTGTCCTGTCCTACAGGGTCGAGTCAGAACGTCCGTGACAGCAGGGGCCTGGGCTTGCTTAAAAAGCAGTGCTATTTCAAACGGCAGCAGCTACAGGCCCGCCCGCAGAGCACCCTGGACGTGCGGCCGCTGCTCTCTGCGTAGGTGGGCCCCTCATTAGCCTTGTCTGGGTTAGAAATGAGTGCTGGTTGTGAGAACTCCAGTCCTTCGTAAGTTCGAGGGATCACCCTGTGGGCTCTTTGCCCTCCCCATCCTGCCTTCAGTCGTTTCTACCAGAACAAGGCGAGATCTTCTTAGTTCTCGTGTCGCAGAAACGTGCTCTCCTATCTCCCTCCTGAGAACCTCTTCTTTGTGCGAGGCAAGCTTCTCAGACCCGCCTGGCTCAGCAGCATCTGGTCATGTCTAACCTGCTCCCTCGGCCATTCAGTGATTCCTGCAAGTTCCACACGGTCCATTTTCACAAAGTTCCACACGGTCCATTTTCACATCTGCTTGGTTATTTTGGAGAATCTTCTGTTCCTGTCGCCTCCAGCGACTGGTCTACAGCATCGTCATGTTTCCTGCTGGGCTGTCAGGTGCCAAGGCTGCTCTAACTCACAGCCAACCTGTGGACAACCTCCCAAGCCCCTGCATCATCCTCTACACCTTCACTGTGCTCAAGTCCCTGGCGTCATCACTGTGTCAGCGCATCTCACGGTGGCCTCCCTCTCCTGCTCTGTCCCTCCACCTTTCAAAGTATGATGTCCTTCTCCAGGGACCAGCTGACCTGCAATGTGCAAAGTGTGGGAGACAGAGTCTCTCCGTCCTTGCCTCTAAGAAGCATCCGGGCTGTACTTCTTTCAGGACGGTCCTCCACTTCTTACGTGTATTTCTGCTTCCATGACTTCATTACTCCCACTGTCGCAGTCAGACGAGCTCTAAAAATCTGAACGATGAAGTCAAACTAAAACCCCTCACTGCTGTCTCAGCTTGCCATGAGGTCCCCAAAGCCGTGACTCCCAGCAAAAGATGGCCACTCTTCATTCTCCTGTGGAGCAGTGGGGAATTCAAATGTGAGAGGAGGCTCAGGCTTTTGACGAGCAGCACAATGTGTTATGGACTATGCTGTCATACGGGATTCAAAACAAAGCCGTGTCCCAAGCTATCCGTGGGATTATCATGGAGCCACTATGTCTTCACGCCCAAGTAGGGATAACACCAGTGCAGACCTCACGGGGCTGCTGGGAGCATTAGATGGTACGTGTGTGGGATTTTTCACAGACAACACACAGCTGGAGGTGGCTTGCCTCTCAGAAACCATTGTCAGCTGCTGCTGCTATCGTCATCATCACAGTCCTATCAGCACGCTCCACTCAAGCAGGGTCAGCCAAGGACAGGTCCTACCTATGTTGGACTAAATTTTCCTTTTGTGGGTTCAGGACTGATTAAATAAGTAGGAATTTCTCCACAATTTTACTTAAAACAGGCAAAAATATTGGCTTAAAAGGACAAGACCCTGTACTTGGAGATTGCACTTAGTACTGGGCAAAGCAATGGCTTAGCCAAATCAACAGTGAGGGTTACCTAGGAAGTGACTACAAATGAGAGGGCTGCGTTAAAGAGAAGCATTTTCAAGTATTTCTGTCTACGTTCTGAATACCTCGCATGGTTTTAAGGCATTTACTTCATAAACTGATGTCAAATCTTCTCTACTCATTGGCATAAATCAAACAGAACTAAATTCTAAAAAAAAAAACACCATTGTTAGTTTGGCTTTAGCTACTTGGAAACACATATAAATGAAAATACAACTAAATTTATTAAAATCTGTAACTGACACAAGATTTGACTAAACTCTTTAGTTTATTTAAACAGGTTTTTCTTTTAAAATATGTACCCTAATAAATGACTGGGGGACTGGGATAATGAGGGTAGGTGTGGCAGAGACAGTAAGATTGGTACAGGATAGAGCAGGGTTTAGGGCTGTTGTACAAAAGGTCATTATGAGCTGTAGGCAACTCGACAGCACATAATGATGACAACAACAGCTCGGATAAATGTCACATTAATATAAAATGCGTACCTAATAAATGCCCTGCTGCAGGGTCGGCTGTGGGTCGGTTCTGAGTCGATGAAACAACAACAAATAATACATTTCAGTCCCTGGAGCAGAAGTGACTCAACTGTGAGCAGCGGGCGCTTCAGTGCACACTGATCTTTGCTGCTACAGGATCACTTATGAAAATGAGGACCTTGCACAGAGTCCAAGTTCATGTCTTCTCAGCAGTAACCTCTGCACAGGGACTGTTGCCCAGAAACTTAGTTTACAGAAAACAATGAGTAAGGGAAAGTCAGGCAACGGGAAGCTACACAGGTTCCTTTCCGTGTCTATTTCATGAATGTCAGTCTAGGAATCACAAAGTGACCACATCCTAAGGGCAGGCCTGTTTCCACAAGATACTCAAGGCTGGAGTCTAAAGCAGACGCTGCATTCTTCTCTGGTTGAGTATGGCGGACTCAAACCGATGACCTCTGGTCAGCAGTCAAGCACTGAAACCCTGTGTCGCCAAGGCTCTGTCTGTACATCTCACTAGTAAGCAGACAGTCTCCAGTGGGCACCGTACCAAGTCCTGCTGAGCAAAAGGTTAGTAACAGACCAGAGAGGAAGAAGAATAAGCAATCAAGTCCTTCTTAATGCAGAGTTTCAAACAAAGTAACACTGACAAAGGGAAACCAATGAAAGAAGAATGAAATCAGAGACTCAAGAGGAACTCAAATGGGACGGTGCCCAGAGCCACCACTGTTGAGCCATTAACCACCAAGTGTGTACATTCACACCTGATCAGTAGTGACGGTGAACACAGCACACACACGTATGCGCACACCTGCACACGTACACACACGGCACCCACACGACTGTGGCGCAGAGCACTAGACATCTTACTTCCACTCCTCGGGGGGGTGTGCGAGCTCATACTTCTCCCTCACGTTGGACACCCCCATGTCCAGGTGCAGCCAGTGCACCTCCTCCGAGTGCAGGTGGCTGAGGCGGAAGCCGTAGCAGGCCACGTGCTTGACTTTGTGACTGTCCACGATCTTCTGGATGATGCCCTGCAACACAAAACCATCCACAGAAACAGCCCATGAGAAGCTGGAAACAGTGACACACCCAGAGCACCTGCCTGCTTTATCTCCAGCGGGACTGCTGCTGAAAGCCAATCTGCTTCAACTAATGACTTCACTTCAGTTACGATGTTTTCCCTCCAATACTGTTTTTATGAACATAGAAAAATATTTTTAAAACAAAGATTTCCTTTTCTCTACTCATCAATCAATATGTAAACTTAAAAATACAATTTTGCAGGGGGAAGGATTGTAAAACAATGAAACAAAGTGCAACAATGAATAAATGCAAATCCAAAGTCTCTGTAAATTTCATTAAAATTAATAATTAAAAAGTTTAAAAAAGGAAACTAATACAATTTCGCAAAGCATCGCCGTGAAAAGGTCAAAGCTGTTGAAACATACGAATATCCTACAGTTACCATTTTCTGAAGACTAGACCCAAATAGAAGGAGAATTGTTGTCTTTGAGCTGTGGTGCTGGAGAAGAGTATTGAATATACCATGGGCTGCTAGGAGAACAAACAGGTTTGTCCTGGAGAGGGTGAAGCCTGGCTGCTCCTTGGAGGCAAGGATTCTGAAGCTTTGTCTGACATACTTTGGACATGTTGCAAAGCAGGCTCAGTCGTTGGATAGAGGGACAGCACAAGAAAGGAAGACCCTCAATGAGATGGATGGCTCAGTGACTGGGATAATAGGGGTAGATGTGTCAGAGACAATAATGTTGGCTCCGAATAGGGCAAGGTTTAGGGCTGTAGTACCCAGGGTCACTGTGAGTCACAGGCAACTCCACGGCACATAACAACAACAGACCCAAATGATGAGCATAATTTCTGAACCAATAATACCCCAGTGCTTCACACTAGGGTAACATAACATTTTAAACTTGTACTTTAAAATGATGTCAATCTTATCATTGCTTTGCAGGCATTATTTTATTATTTTAAATATTTTTTTATTGCTTTCCAGATAAAAAATACCTTTACAGTATGTTTCATTCATATATATTGTTTTATACAATCTTTCATTTACATTGTTTCATGCAATCATTCATATACATTCTACAGAGGGAGATATTTAAATGGCCAACAGATACATGAAGATATGCTCAAAATCAGTGGCAATAAGAGAGATGCAAATCAAAACCGCAATGAGGTATCATCTCGCTCCAGTAGCAGTGGCAAAGGACAACAAGTAATAAATGTTGGAGAGGATGTGGCGAGAAAGGAACATTTACACATTGTTGGGTTGTAAACTGGTATAATCACTCTGGAAGGCAGTCTGGCACTTCCTCAAAAGCTGAACATAGAAATTCCGTATGACCCAGCTATTATTCCACTGCTTGGCACATACCCTGAGAAAACGAGAACTGAGGCACAAATAGAGACTTGTACATCAATGTTCGTAACAGTAGTATTCACCACTGTGAAAACATGGAAACAGCCCAGATGCCCAATCACAACTGAATGGACTGAGAAATTATAGTACATTCACACAATGGAATACTATGCAGCACACAGGAGCAATAATTTTGTAAATTATTATCTAACTTGAGAGGGTCTGGAGAGCATTATGCTGAGTGAACTAACTCAGTCCCATAAGGACAAAGAATGTATAAAAACCATTACTGTAGAATGAGTATGAGGATACAAGGGGGGGTGGAAGTAGAGGAGAGATGACGTGCAGTGGGAAGGGATTAATCACGGGGAGCTAGCGTTATTTTTAAATGATGCTAACTTCACCATGTAGGGTTTTTTTAATTAATTCCAATGAAAATTTACAGATACTTTGGATTTCCATTCATTCATTGTTGCACTTTTCTCCCTGCTCACCCCTCCCCGCCCCCACTACACTTTTCTCTTCGAAAAGTAAAAGAAAAATTCTTTCATTGTTTTACAATTCCTATCCCCCCAGGTCCACATCGTTTTTTTTAAAAAGAGAAGCTAAAAATCTCATGCATTCTGGAACACACAGGTAAAGCCATGGTTCCAAAAAGACTGAGACACACAGAAGTTGGGGAACTTTGAAGCTAGTGAGTTTACTGTGCACTCTCAAGCCATACAGGAATGATGTTAATGTGAAGCTATGTGAACAAATGCTTCCTGCGCCCCGTGGTGCAGAGGAGCTGCAGGAGGGAAGGCTGTGAGTGCTAGCTGGCCTGTCTGTGCCACCCCAGGTGAGAGGAGCTCTGCGGGGGTGATGAAGACACAGCCGTGTGGGAGACACGAGACCATGTGGCGGTGGAGCTGTGGAGAAAGCACGCTGTGAACACCCGTGTATGGGGTCGAGTGTGCAGCGGAAGCCCATGAGGATGACCCCCACATTCACAGGCCAGGAACTAGCAGCTGCCCACCAGCAGGTGTGTTAATCGCAATCCACAGGAACTCTGTCAATCTCTTAGCGGACTGACAAAATGCCTACTAATGCAACCAATGCTGCCTATTACGCAACATCATTGCCATTTAAAAACCAGCAAACAGCCGCCTCCACTCTACTGCCAACAGTGTTCCTTCCGGTCTCTGTGCTGAGCACCTGCTGTTGGTAACAAGACACTGAACATGCCACACATGTGCTGTGCAAAGGCCACTGTGGCCTAGGTGTCCACCCCACCTCTCACACTACGGGACCCCCATACCAGGCTGTTCATCAGTCACAGGAGGGACAGAAGACAGAAGCGTAAAGTCAGGATCAGAGCGTGAACAGTGGCCAGGCGAGAGGGAAGACACTGCAGTGGATGACCATCCACAGTGAATGACTAATTCTGTGACCCTGATTAATGTTTCTTGGGTTTTTGATAGGTATTATAATGAAATAATTTATCTACAGCAAAACATGTACATTTTTGTGTATCTATTTTCAAATTTAGTAGCCTAAATGTATAGAGCTTTATTTGGTATAGATTGTACAGACCCTTTGATATCCTTAAATCTTAAATTAGTAGTGGGCTGGAAGCACCCCACAGAGCAGTGGCGGACAGGGACAGGCAGGCAACATGATCCTCTGTGATCGAGGTTATGGCCTCGAACCATGAGCCTTCAAGATTGCACCATAGAGCTCCCTACTACCTGGTGTAAAGTCCAATGCACAGCAAGGGCAAGGAGATGTCCCGACGGGATGGGTAAGGCCGGACCTCCGAGGGTCCATGCCCTCTCCGCAGGAAACATATCAAGCTCACAGCATCGTGTGGGAATCAGAACAAGAGTCACACTTGGCTGATGGGGATGAAGGGGTGAAGTGGCTGAGGCTGGTTCTGTAGACGCTTCAGGCACTGGAGAAGACCGCATCCACAGTCAGAGCCAGGTTCCCTAAGTGAGCACTTTCTTCTTTTGTTGCTACACTTATACATAAACAGGGGCGACTCAGAAATTTAATCAGGAATCAAACAGCCATGCTAATGAACATGAACGTGAAAGTGGATCCCTACTGATTCGCTAAAGCGTTAGAAATAAAGTTTCTGTAACAAAACAGCACAAGAACTCAGATCTCCTCCCTGACAGAGAGAAATATTCCATTTCTCAACTAGCTGTGGTTCTTCTCCTCAAGTGGGTCCTGTGATCCCTTCTGGAATAGAGTACTGCTGCCCGCAGAAACAACACAGGCTGAACGAGATGTCTAACTTAATAAACCCATTATCATTCAACACATAAAAATGTGTCAAGTCACTAATGAGACAGTGAGTGGGTAGGGAGTCTTGTTGGCAACCCAACAGCGCAATGTTCAAATCCACCAGCTATCCGCAGCAAGCTCTTCCCAGGTGATTTACAGCCTCTGAAGACCAGCGAGAGGGTCAGCTATGAGTTGGTTCCAATTCAACGGCAATGTGCAATAGAGCAGTCTCCAAAATCTAGGCAGTTTTTATTAGCACAGTCACGCGTGTGGCTACTACCTTGGGCTGTGAAGCTGTCACATCTGAGATGGAATTTATTATCAACAATTGTAAATAATGACAAGATGTTTCCTTTCAGACCATGGTGGTCGTGGCTGGCTCCCCACTACTGTGTGATGCCTGCCCATCCCTGCAGAGTACCGGCAGTCTCAGCAGTCCCTCTGTTCTAAACTCCTCCAGCTCTTCCCACCGCAGGCTCCCTGCTGATGGTCCCCTTGCGGAGAAACAAGTTACTAGCTTCTGATACAATGTCTCTTCAACTGGAACTTTCAGTGGAGGAACAGATTGGAAATAAATACACAAGGTGGTTATCAGCTACTCAAGCGTTTACAAATTCTTGCTTCCTGCTCTGTTTTGTTTAATGTAGTCTGGATTACTTAGAAGCAAGCATGTGCTTCATGTTGTACAAACATTCCCACACGTAACCAGGGCATTTCTGGGTGCCATCTTCTGTTTCCCTCCTGTCATGGGCATTCCGTACCTTGGGGGGACCATGCCCCACGCTGACCCTCCTTCCTTTCAATCTCACGTCTCCACTGTCTTCTGGACTTGGCTCTCACGCCTGACACCAAAGACGTTTTGCAATGGCACTTGGCTGAGCAGTCTCTTTGATGTCCTGATTTGGAGACAACACTTGGCTCACAGTATCGATCATGAACATGGATCATAAACATCATCAATCAGAAGGACAGTGGCCCATCGACCTCCATTGTGGGTGGATTGGTGTCATGACACTTGCAGCTGTATCTGCTTCTAGGTCTGCACCAGCCTCGGAGAGGAAACCAAACACACAGCATAGTCTTCATCCAAGCTGGTCTGGAACAGGGTTTCTAAACTCTGTTCCAAACCTGCTACACGCAGGACAAGGAGCTCTGGTGTGTGGTCCAAAGGGAGCTGTGCTAACTGAAACGCAGTTCAAAATGCCAGCGGCTCTGGGGGAGAAGCAGGCAAAGCGGGCAGTCTCCATCGTGAACACGCACAGCCTCGGAGATCTGAGGGCGACAATGTGAGTCTCAGTCTACCTGGCCATCAAGCTGACACACACAGGCTGTCTCTCTCCAATTCTGGGAGGGGTGAGGAGGGAATGGGAGAGGAAGGAAGAGGGGCAGGGGGAGGGAAGGAAATAAGAAAAGTTTGCATCTACTCTGGGTCTTCTTACCCCTTCCTCTCGTAAGCCCTTTCCGCTCCCCGAGGTGCCTTCTGCAGGGGACCCCGACCCCCTTCACCATCACTGACCCTCCCTGCTCCCATCAGTCCACTACGGAGCAGTGTTCTGGTTCTGCCGTGCATGAGTTTCATTCCCCCACCTTCCTGTCATCACGTCCATCACCCTCCTCCGACCTGAGTGATGCCCTCCAACATCTCTGAGGAGGCTCTCGGGACCAGGACCGTGTGAGGAGGTCACTTCCCGCTGCACTATCCGAGCACATGTCTGCTTTGAGATGGTCCTCTGTGGACTCTGCCGTCCCCCGATCTGGTGACATAGGGCTCTTTCACAGAACTCACTCAGCAACAACATGATCTCACATGCTCCCCTGTGGAGGCACTTCCAGGCCTGAGGAGGCTGGGGGCGGGCCCAAGGGCTGGCTCCTAGGAGAGGCGGGTCACACCTGACAAGGACCGCACAGCTCTGGGCTCAGACAGACCGGGGCTTCACAACTGAAAATGCAGTCTGCTCAACTCCCTTCATCTTTCCGCACGTAACGCACACGCGTGTGACACACTGCAAGCCTAGCTAACCAACAAAGGAGGGGCGAGGCAGGTGTCAAACCACAGAACTTGCAGGTCATTTTTTTAAAAAAAGAAGATACTTATAATTTCTACAATTTTTATCACCTGTAAAATAAGGCTGGTTCTGTATTGCTGTGGACTGTAGTTAGAACCAACCCCTAGGTGGCCCTCCAGTGGGTATTCAGAGGCAGTTAATCACACTGGAGGAGACTGCCCATCCTTCTCCCACGGAGCAGCCCCGAAGTGCATGCCTTCAGGATACACTGCAGCTTCTCACTAGGCCCCCGACCTGGGAAATCTTCTCTTGCCTCACAGAACACTTTGTGGCTGAGTACCATCAAGTCAGAACCAACCCCCAGCTGACCGTCCAGTGGGTTTTCAGAGGCAGCACAGGAGGAGATTGCCCATCCTTCTCCCGTGGTGCAGCCGGCAGATTCCAACAGCATGGCTTTAGGATAGCAGCGCAGATTCTAACCCCTAGGTCACCAGAGCTTAGTGTTAACCTAATAGCCTCAAATTACCTGTACAATCCAAGTATCACTATGCGACTCTGCTCTTCCATCCCTATGGAGGCGGGCTGCAGACAGACCCCTTCCTGGGAAGACTGGGGCCTCTGGACGACTCAGGTCTCCTCATCTTCCTTCGCAACTCATCCTCTCCTCTCTCTCTTCCCTGCACCTGTGCTCAACTCAGACACGATCTGGCGCCTACATCATCTCAGCACTGGGGGAGGATGGACCCCTCACTTTCTACACTTGCTAAATATGCAGTGCTTCTCATCACACTGAATGGAGACATCAAGACATGTGTCCACAAACAGGGGGCTTAATTCTTGCTGTGTCTGTCTTTACGTCTGCAGCATCAAGTAAATGCTTGGCATGATATGGATAAGACAGGTAAAAATGATGACTGGGAGTCACAGGGGAGAGGTTGCCACTATACCACATTCTCAAACCAAAGAAGCATCACCCTCGACGACATTCAAAGATACTTAACGAGCAGAGTGGAACCTCTGCAACTACAGCTCTCAGACATTCTTCACAGTGTTTAGCAGCCACATGTACAGAGGAACTGGCAGCACCAGGGGGGCAGGTGCACCCCAATACAACCAGTCACATGGGGCCAAAGGGCAGCATCTCCAAGAACAAACTCTGAAGGCAGGACAGAAAGAGGGATGGACACAGGGACCTGGGGGGAGGAGGGGATGGCACCAGTGTCACCGCACAACATGCTAAAACAGTATGCCAGAAAACTACTCAGCTCTCTAAGTTCTTACTCAACCCACATTTTTTTTAAAAAAAAAAAAGCCCACCGAGTCAGAACAGAGCAAGGAAAGTGCACGGTTCAAAATCAGGAAAGGAGTGCACCAGGATGCATCCTGTCTCCACAGCTATTCAATCTATCTGCAGAAAAGATCACTGGGGAGGCTGGGCTTTGTGAGGAAGAATGTTGTATCAGGACTGGAGGAAGACTAGAAGCATTTGCTACAAAAGGTCAAGGACTGTAGTTTTCAATATGGATTGAAGCTCAACATGAAGAAAACAAAGATTCTCACCACTGGGCCAACTGGAAGCACCATGATAGATGGAGAAGAGACTGAGGTTGTTAACGAATGCAGCTTGCTCGGCTCCACAATCAAAGTTCTTGGCACAAGCAGTCAGGAAACCAAAAGACAAATTGCATTGGGGAAGTCTGCTGTCAGGGACTTTTCCAGAGTGCTCAGGTGCAATGATGTCCACCTAGAGACCAAGGTGCGCCTGATCCAGTCCATGGTCTTCGCAACTACTTGCTATGCATCAGAAACCTGGACAATGACTAAGGATGACAGAAAAATTGATGAGTCTTGAACACACCATGGACTGCCAAGAAAACAAATAGGTCTGTCTTGGAGAAGGTGAAATCACGTTTCTCCTTGGAGGCTAGGATTCTGAAGCTCCGTCTTATATATTTTGGGCATGTAGCCAAAAGAGATCAGTCTCTGGAGAAGGACATCATGCTTGGAAGGGTGGAAGGACAGTGTGGGAGAGGAAGACCCCGGAAGAGTTGGACTGAGACAATAACCAGGGCAATGGGTTATTGTTAGTGTTTCAGAATTAGTGAGATTGGCTTCAGAGCTGCTGTACATATAGGGTCATTATGAGTCACAGGTGACTCAGCACATAGCAATAACAATTCATTAATTAGTCAGTCAGTACAGACTAAAAATACCACAAAAGTGAAAAATGACGATGTATAATTCAAATGTGACACTATAGCCCTAACATAAACGTCACCAAACCTTCTTGCTTTAAAATAGCGAAGCCAAGCAAGTTTAAATGAAGAATGGCAAACAATGACTTTCACTAGTACAAAAAGAAAGGCAAACAGGATCCACCAGACTTTCCTACTGGTCACTGGCCTGGCACCTTTTCCTTAACGAGAGCACAGGCCTTGTTCACAGCTCATCAGCAACACTCCAGCCTCCATCCCAAGCAGCTGCCTTCCCAAAGTCGAGCGCTGCCTCCGTCCCCTACACTCGGGAGCAGCTCTCCTTCATGACCACAGCCCAGAGGAGACACCCCCCCTCAGGCCTCACTCCTGCTCACCGGCGGTAGACTCCACACACCCCGTCCCATCCCTCCCCTGGCCAGTCACCTGGATCGTCCCTGTCACCTGGCCTGTCCCACCAGTGCAGTGCTCTCCACCAGGTCCTGCTATAAGCCACAAGAACCAAACTGCACAGATTGCAAGAAGGGGCCTTGCTGGGCATTTTGTACCCTAGAACCTAACGCTGTGTCTGTCAAATGAGACATTCAATAGCTTTTTAAGAACTACCCAATCTTTTCTCATGCAAATAGTTCCCAAATTATACGTGTGGAAATGGATTACCTTCCCTCATAAATGCCTACTTCCCTTTGCTTGGCCTTCTCACACCCTTCCGGGAGTCAAAACGGCAGGTGTGCGGGACCAGTGACATGAAATAGAACTCACTTTTCATTGTCTAAAGGTATTTCACATTTAAAGTTAGCTCAGTCTCATGTACTTGAATCCATGAGACAGGGCAGGAAGTGAACACCTCTGTCGTGTGGGATGTCCCGCCAGGTTCCACACAGACCACTGCTCCATCAGTCTGGGGCTGAGCAAGCCAGCAAGTCATGCCTGGACACACCTGGAGGGCGTTGACTTGGGCAGATGTACTCACCCTGACGTCGGTGGCATCGCCGTGTCGAATAATACTGGCCCACGTGGTTGGCTCACTACTGCTCTCAAAATAATGAAAGACCTTCAACACTCGCTCCATGGCCCCCGGAGAACGTTCCAGACCAGTCCCCAGCTGAGTCTTAGTACTTGAATTTGGTGTGTGGTTCAAGTTTGGGTCAAGATAAGCAGCTGCCATTATTTTGCTAGATGCTAGGTATCTGTCATATTCTGTAAGGAAAAGAAAAAAACTATTTTCAGTGCACAGTATTTACAATCTACCAATTAAGGTGTAGCGCTGATAATTAAGAGCACACATCACCTGCAGAAGAAATGTTGTCAGGTGAGCTTGGGGAGGGCAGGGATCTCACCCAGCCCAATCGTCACTGTATCCCTCCCTAACCCAACTCCGGGTCAGGACCTGCTTCAGGAAAGCATATGAAACACTTGTAAAACTATTACCGGAGAAGAGGTCTATTCCAGCTATCAAAAACACACTCTATTATTAGAAAATAATATTAACGGAACCCTTTTACAGCACAGTAATTTTATTTGTAGAACAATCACAGAGAAATCCACATCTATTAATTTTGCAGCCTAATTCCGGAAGCCTTCACCTGTTACGACGGCCATGTGCGATGAGTAGACCTGTAAGCGGCGGGCGGGGATGATTTTGTTTACGTGATTAACACAGGGTCCTTCCTCACAATGAACTCACTGTTTAGCATAAGAGTGACCGACAAACACCAGAAATGAAACAACTGATGGAAGGGGAAGAGCTCCACTTCAGAGGAGGCCACTCAGGTACCAGACCACCGCAACACACCAACTGCAGCCAAAACTCCAGTCAGGTGAGGGTCTCGGCTTCCTGCTGCATCTAAGGGATACACTGGCCCGTAGTCTGTGGAGTGTCCCAGCAAGCTGGAAGAGGTGGGCACACGGAGAGAAGAGCCCACATGCCCCATAGACACGATGTGCACATGCTACTGGAAAACATCACTAACACACCAGCTCGCACACCGTCAACCTCTGAAACCCAAAGGCAAAGGGCTGCGTGGACAAGGGAATAATCTGGGCAAGACTCAAACTCCTCCTGAGAGAAGTCAGAGAGAAAACCACTCACAAAAATGTTGGAATGATTCAAGGACGGTTTGGGACAACAATGACAAACCGAGCTGGAGGTCTGGCCAGACTGGATGGCTGACTTCCCAAACCACCGCTGCAGACGGGGGTCCGTGGGGATCTCCAAATCCAAGTAAAAGCCACTGATGCTTCCAAACCCTGAACAAGGAGCAAGGACGATCAAGTAAGAGCTCACATCTTTGAATTCACAGTGGTGGACAATCACGGTTACACCCAAGACTGCCAGGACAGCAAACAAATCCAGTCTCAGAGTAAGGAAACCAGGACAAGGCAGAGAAGGCTGTGTGGTTCCTGCTTCAGACAAAGGCGGCCAGTGACCAGAAAGACGTCATGTGTGACAAAGCAAAGGGTTAGCAACCCAAGGGAGCCCCTCCAGGACAGAGACGGGCATGGTGGCCACACCGAGAGATCCAGTGACACAGGACTGGGCAACAGGCCACCTCCATCAGGGGGCAACGGGACACAAATTAACAACTGTAACAGGCTCTCATCATCAACATTTCCTTATCACTGTTACCGAGTCAACTGTGACCCACCACTGGGTTCCAAGTGTATCATATAACAAAGACTGAGTTACAAACATTTCACCAAAACCCCCACAGCATTCTCAGTATGGGGTTGCTGCAAATGCAACGAGATGAGAAGCAGAGGCCCAGGGTTCAGGCCTTCGTTTGCATGCTCGCCGTCAAGGCCTCACCAAATCCCCCCATCGACTAGTGCTCCACCCTGACAGTGCAGATGACACGAAGAGTCAAAAGTCTGACTGTTCCTCATAGAGAATTGTACTACACAATTGGTTCCATCTCAACATAGAAACTGCTGTAAAATGATTCACTGTGCACAACTTTTCAGGGAGAAAAGTGTAATATAAAACAAGCAAGCAAACAAAAATGACAATGCATACCTAATAGGAATCTGAAGTTCCTAACAGAATATGTGAGCTACCAGGCTGCTCCTTGGAGGCAAAGATTCTGAGGCTTCGTCTGACATACTTTGGACATGTTGCAAGGAGAGACAGGTCTTTGGAGAGGGACATCATGCTGGGTAGAGTAGAGGGACAGCACAGGAGGGGAAGACCCTCTATGAGGTGGATTGATTCAGTGACTGGGGTAATCGGGATGGGTGTGTCAGAGGCAATGCGATTGGCACAGGATAGAGCAGGGTTTAGGGCTGTTGTACATAGGGTTGCTATGAGTTGGAAACAACTCGATGGCACATAACAACAACAACAACCACCACCTGCCAGAAATACACGCTGGGCTTAGAAGTAGTTGTGGTCCTAGAGACATTCTCGCCAGTGTCAGATGGATCTTGGCAGAAAGCAGAGAGTACCATTCATGTGTTTCACCGACTATGCAAAGGCATTTCACTATACAGATCACAACAAATTGTGATTAACCTTGAGGAGAATGGGAATCCTAGAACACATGACTGTGCTCACGCAAAACCTATACTTGGCCAGGAAGCAGTACTCAGAACAGAGCAGGGAAACACTGCCTGGTTCAAAATCAGGAAAGGAGTGCATCAAGGATGTGTCCTGTCTCCAAACATCTTCAATCTATATGCAGAACAGATCATCCAGGAGACTGGGCTTTATGAGAAGGAATGTGGCTTCCAGATTTAGGAAGACTCACCAACAACCTTTTTTTTTTTACATTTTTTTTTTATCATTAATTTTAATAGACATTTACAGAGGTTTTGGATTTCCATTCATTCATTGCCGCACTTTTCTCCCTGCCCACCCCTCCCCACCAGCTCGCTTCCCCCCCAAGAGAAAAATAAAATAAAAATTCCTTCATTAGTATACAATTCCCACGTCCCTTCCCCCCCACCCCCCACCCCGAGTACACTTCTCTATGCAACCTTAATTTTGGATTCCTGTGCTAACCATAATACTCAATCATATATCACTTCTAATCTGCAGATGACACAACCCTGCTTGCTGAAATTGAGGAGGACCTGAAGCACTTGCTGCAGAAGGTCAAGGACTGTGGTCTTCAATATGGATTCAAGTTCAACATCAAGAAGACAAAGATTCTCACCACTGGGTCAATTGGCAACATCATGATGGATGGAGAAGAGACTGAGGTTGTTAACAGTTACAGCTTGTTCTGCTCCTTAATCAACACTTTTGGCACCGGCAGTTCAGGAAATCAAAAGGCAAACTGCATTAGAGAAATCTGCTGTCAGGGACCTTTCCAGAATACTGAGAAGCGACAATGTCAGTCTAGAGACTGAGGGCCACCTGATCCAGTCCATGGTCTTCACAATTACTTGCTATGTATCAGAGCTGGATAATGACTAAGACGGATATAAGAAGAATTGAATCCTTTGAGTTGTGGTGCTGGAGTCTTGAATATACCATGGACTGCCAACAAAACCAGTATGTCGATCTTGGAAAGGGGGAAAACCAAGTTTTTCCTTGGAGGCTAGGATTCTGAAGCTCTGTCTCACATACTTTGGGCATGTGGCTGGGAGGGACCGATCCCTGGTGAAGGCCACATCATGTTCAGAAGGTTGGAGGGACAGTGCGGGAGAGGAAGACTCCAGATGAGATGGACTGACACAGTAACTAGGGCAATGTGGGTAGGTGTATCTGAGTCAGTGACACTGGCTCAGGACAGGGCAGGCTTCAGAGCTGCTGTACATAGGGTCACTATGAGTCATAGGCAACTTGATGGCACAAAACAACAACCTATCAATGATACTATTAAAATGTGAAAGGCAAATATTCAGGGGTCACTCTCTTAGACTTTTCTCTATTGCTTGAGAACCAGCATATCTGATTATGTGGATAAAGACTTCAATGACAGACAACACGTGATGGAGATCAGAGGTTCAGAGGTTCATGCAGCACAAGGCCTCTTGTTCACATGATGAGTCACAGTGGACTTGACTCCACACTGCCACCACCTGAGAACCAGGAGCTCTGGAGGCAGATGCAGTGTGTTGTGCTTCTAACCAAAAGGGTTCAAGTCCACCAGTGGCTCTGCAGGAATGGAAGCCAGGCAATCTCCTCCTGTTAAAATGCACAATCTTGAAAATGGACTGTATGGCTCTGAGCTGGGACCAAACAAAAGCACTGAGCTTGCATTTACCAGAGGGCATCTCACCTCGGGACAGGCTGAGCAGCAGTGCAGTGACAAAGCACAGCTGACCAGCTGACTCAGGCAAGGGCCAGAGAGATGGAGTTTCTGCTGCTTTATTCCCATCTGGGCCCTGCTAAGAATCTGCATTTGCACCCCAGACACACAAATCAACAGTGTAACACAAAAGTCACCTGGAGATCTGGTTAGGACTTGGATCATTACTCAGGAGTTCTGGAAAAACCAGTTTGAAGTCCTGAAAGAAGAAG